CTCTTCAGCTGTTTTAGCCAAGGTGCCGGGAGTCAACAGTGGATCTCGAAATCCTCAGATTCTGCTCAGCTCTTCGCAGTGAACTTCCTTACCCAGTCTGGCTGGGCTTTGGGTAATGTACTGGGCATGCGATAAAGGCCAAGGATGCTATTGCAAATGCCTGCATCCCAGAGAAATAATAGTAGTTGGGGAAAAAAAGATGAAATTTGTTTATTATTTGTTTTCAAAGAGAGCCTTAGCTGCAAGGAATGGACCTTATCTGCTTTGGGACTAGGTAGATGACAAAGGTATTCATGAAATGGATGGAACACACTCTTTTTGATTGCCAAGCACACCAGTTATAAGGCCAGAGAAATAATCTGATGCTTCAAATGGCCACTAACATACCCAAGGGCCTATTGCGCTGCCTTTCTGTGCTGGAAGAAATGGCGAGCACCTGGTGAGCTAGAGAGAGGAGAACAATTCTGGGCGTATCGTCAGGATGACAGTTATTTCTTTGACATGTCATAGTAATTCAGTGAGCATTAAAAGAAAACCCTTCAGGTGTTTGAAACGCCACTCTGCGTGGCATTTTAGGTCATTGCTTAATTAGCAATGTGATTAGAATGCAGCTTGTCCTGTAGTTTGTAGCTGTGAACGTATGCGCGGAGCACATGATGGATCAAATTCCACTTTCTATACGGTACCTGATATATGGAGGGCTAATAGTGGGAAAACTCATGTGTGCGCATTGAGGTAATTCAGAGCAAGGTGGTCTGGAAAACTAATTTGAAACAGTAGCTTTTGTACCTGACCATTCTGGGAGAATTTATTGTGCTTCATACTGCTTGGCCATTGTCTTGCATTTATGCTCATGGCCAGTGCTATGGAGGTACCTTATGGTGGTTCACAGCACTAGCAGGAGCACATCATGATGGTGCAACAGTTTGCTCGTGTCTGAGGAGGGAATGTTACTTACGTTTCACATCAATCTTAAAAAGTGATCTTGAGTGTCCTCTAGAATATATCTTTTTAAAGAGCATGCTTTGCTGCTGTGTGTGACATGGCTATATATGGTACAGGAAGCTGTGATGGTTTTCAGGTTACATTCATTACGTGCAACTGTGACACATTATTATTATGTTCTTTCTTATGCTACAGTTGATTGTTTTTAACTTCAGGTCTAATTTTAAGGTAGTGCTGCCTCTTTACGTTTCTCTGCATCGTGCTTCTTAGCCAGGACAAGGCATTTTATACTGAATTATTATGACTTTAATTTGTGCTGTAATTGGCATCATTGCCATTTATCCAGTGGTTTTTATGTATAAATATCATCCAAGCGTATTCCTCAGTCACTCACAGGCTGTATTTCTTAGCTGACAATGTTTAATACCATCAAGGAGAGGAACACGTTTGCGTCTTCTCTTTGTGTGCACATTTCTGTTGTTTTTGCTAGCGCTCATTACGTGTATTCTGTCATGCTATTTACTTTACCCTGCACTCCTGAGACCTTTGCCTCATTTCCCAGGTTTGGCATTTCATTAATAAATCACAGCTTATGGACCTTTCTGGGGAACAATTGCCTTTTATAATATTCTACGGTAATACCAGTATAGTTAGAAAGTGTGCCTAGCAAAATCCGTATTCCACAACACTTCCAGAACAATACCTGCTTCAAAGGCATGGCAAGGTGAATAAGGCTATTTATCGACGGAGTCTATCTGACGAGCTGGAAACCACAGTCATTTTCATAAAAGGTCCATTTAAAATAAATCCGACTTTCATTTTTCCTGAGGGCCCACTTGAATTCCTTCCACACAGAGAGAAGGTCAGCACTGATGTTCTTAATCCTTAGCAGTGAGGTTTTTCTATGCTGCTTCTGTTGTTAATGTTTGCTGCGGGGAGAGAGTAATAAGCCAGAAAGACTCTGTTTAGTGAAAGCTGGAGGAAGCGGGGGAGCTCCTTCGGGCGCCCTGCGTGCCTCGCTGGCCGCCTTTCTGCTCCGTTGAGTGCTGCAAGCGGATCAGCTGCGGGTCCCTCGTGGGACTGGAAGAAACATGAAAGCTTTCCCAGGGTGCTGGCTGTGCCAGCCGACAGACTGAAGTGAAGGAAGAAGCCTTCCTCAGTCTGTATTCCATTGCCATTCTAAATTAAAAAAGCAAACACAAGAACTAGCAAAATACCTTTTGCATCAGTGTTTTTTTCTTGGTAGATGTTTGGAATAACAGGTTTGGAGCGTGGTACTCTGAGTAAATATGACCACAACTGAAGTAGTTCTGATTTGGCTCACCATGAAGATATTCAGCATCTCACCAAATGGACTCTTTAGTCCTGCAGGAGTTTGTCACCCTAGGTAGGTCATTTTCATAGGGGCAGGTGGTTCTGCCGTTTTCCGTGCATTAAGACTGAATTACTATATTTTCAAATCAAAGATACTCTTTCTACCATTTTCTTCTTCTGATTCGAGTTAAGATTTCAAGACCCACTCAGAGCTGAAAGGTTTTGGAGCGGCACAATAGTAGGGGTGAGTAGGAAAGGGCAGGTGGAATGAGGACTAAGAAATTTACAGCTGGGGAGATAATGATGCTCATTGTGGCTACGTGGTCTTAGTTAAACATTAGGGTGCCAAACTATTGTGTGATTTTTTTGTTGGAATCATCTTGTTCTGTGTTACATTTTAAGAGCGAACTCACCATGAACAGAGTCGCTTTTCCAAAAATCATGCTTTTGCACACTGCAAAGCAGTGTGCATGTGTTTAAATTTTACCTTTTATTTTTTTCTTTTTTCTTTTTTCTTTTTTTTCCCCTCACGTAGTGAAGCAGTCTGCAGTCACAGAATAAAAGGGAAGAGGGAAAAACAACCAGAAGGTCAAAAGCATTATTCTAATTCCTGGGGCAATTTGTTGACTTTCCTATTTCCTTTTGGAATGTTCCACTTCTCTTTCGAAGACGCCCGTGTTCCTGCATCCTGCTCAAATCGGCTCGTCAAGTGGAATTAGAGCTTGCAGAAATTAAGGGTTGGGGAAAGGAGCTTATATCTTCAGGGAATTTTAGAAACCTGGGTAAGAAAGACTGTAAACACATAGCTGAATGGATGGATAGCTGAGGTCTACAGGGAAAAAAGAAGGTAGTAGGTGTCAAAAATTTACTCTAAGATACTAAAATACAAAGTGAAATATTATGCCCTGCTGTGGTTATGGGATTGGGAAAGAACTACTTTCAGCTTTTGTTCTGTAATTGAAAGCCTGATTTCCAGAGCTGTTGAGCATCCACAATTCCCATTGATGTAAATAAAGTTTCTAGGCACTTTCAGCATTTCTGAAAAACAGGCTGTTTTACCTAGTGGTACAGACCAGGACTTGCTTTCTTCTGGAAACAGAAAGGCAACGATCTCGTTAGAGTGATCTGAGGTATGTACCAAGGATTTCTCTTCAGATAATCCAGGGTTAGGAAACCAATGGTACCTTCAAGGGTTTTAGTTCAGATTCTGACGGGCGTATGTTTGCCTGTACACCAGTTCCTGAAGAGGTGCTGCTGCTGATGAACCGGAAAATAGTTTTTGTTGTTACCAAGTGCTCAAAATAGGATCAACGTGTCATGTAGTTAATAAGCAGTCAGCACTGGTGGTCAAAATAGCATTGCAAATCCCATGGCTTTGGACTATCTGTGAAGTATAAAATTTGCTTAATTCTAGTCAGTAGTAACTGTGGGTGATTTTATCAGAACTAGATGATCACCAAGGAAAATGGAGTTATTTTAGGAAGACAGTGAGCTGCTAAGCCTGGCGTTTAAGCAGCTGGTGCTACTGAAGATGCTGACTTTTTTTTTTTTTTAATTTTTATGAGATGAAAGAATGAAACTCCTGGTAAATTGTAGTGATTACAGAATTTGTGGCTCTCTTCACAGGAGCAAGCTGATTAAGGCAGGTGCCCGAGCCGCATCTGAAGCTAGGCAGTTACCTTTTCCTTACCAAATATTTGAGTTTTTCAGACCATCTGTTGACACCTGACTTTTAGCACTGTTTGCTGGGAAGTGATGGCACAGGCAGGAGAGCAAAACAGCCACAGCTCCACAGTGCCCTCCTGTTTGGCCACAGAAGATAAAGATGTATGTGTCCTATCCTGATTTCTGCTGGTGACCTAAAGACGACCATGCTGATGCTACATGGAACATGGTACAGCTCTGCCATAACCTGTCTGTGCCCGCACCTGTGAGGTGGGACTTGGGAGCACCCAGTGCTTCCTTCTGCAAGGTTTTACATCAACAGATTTTTTTTTTTTTTCCTGTGAAGGAATGAATCCCTAAGGGTTGATTCCTGATTAGCATAAGTTTGATTTTTATCACCTTATGTGTGAATGCAGAGAGAATTTGACACACTTCTACACCGTCCCTTTTATCTTTAGTACCATATATGTGGAAAGCGCAAGAGTAGATGTTTGCAGATCCTGACCTCTTGCCAGGTGAGATACTGCAGTGTTTTGGTGCAGGCTGGTGAGGAGTCATGTTACCAAGCTGCTTGTGGCTTCACGAGTGACTGATAGAACAGGAACACCTGAGTTAAGTTTGTGTGCAGTCTGCGCTAAGGGTTTGCACAAATGGATGTTAGGAATGAAATGAAGAAGTGTAATCCTCTGCCTGTCATGTGGAGACAAGCATGTAGCTTCTTTGAATCTGTCTCTCTTTTGATGGATAATGCACTTACCTCCTAGGCCTGCAAGCATTTGAAAATATGTAATAGCAATCATTGCTTTTATACAGCCATGCACTGCCAACTTTCCTGGATACCAGCTTTTCTGCGCTTGCAGTCAGATGTTCCAAGCATAACATCTCACTGGCTGCAATGGACCATCCAGAGCTCACTGACAGAGGGTGATTTATGCTTTTGGTAGGAAGGAAGTCTACTCCGTAGAGCTGTTGGTTCTAAATGGTGGAGAGGTGAGACTTGCCTCATTCTCAAAATAAACTGTTAGAGGAAGAAATTAAACCTGTTTGATTGCCACCTTCCCATCAAACAGGCAAGCATGTATAAACACCTTCGGAAATCTTCCAAGGTAGAACAGAATGGAATTTGCTTGGACTTGTTTGCCCGGACGCTGTCTTCCCTGAGGTGCAACTTTGTCAAGCCAGGAGGGAAGTTGTCCTCATGGCTCTGCTTTCCAATGCCTCAGCTATTGGAGGTACCAGGGGATGTGAACGTAAGTCCTGCCATCACAGTGTGAGACTTAATAGATCTGGCACCTCAGATGATGCTTTCTCAATGAGAAAAGTAGGGAATTTATGGTGGGCTTAAGCAAGTCCATAGTTTATGACAGATATGTCAAAGTAATCTGTGTACCTCCTGCGTGCGTACTTTGTGGGTTCTGGCTTGTAGAAGACTTGTGATTTAACAGTAGTCAGCAAGTATTTATTTGTGGCTCAGGAATATGTCTTATATGTAATACGGGAAGATCTCTTTCAGTTGCAAACTCAGAACTTTTCTCCGTTTCCCTCAAATTGCCAAGGAAGCAATTTTTGAGATTTATTGCTGTATTGATGTTTTTTGGCCTTGGAGTGATTTTGTTTGAGATAGTGTGACAATTTTTTGCCTTGCCTTTGGGAGAAGAAATGGTGTTCCTTAGTTCTTTGATAAATCTAAGGAAAGTAACAGGTTAAAAAAATTATGTTTTATTGGTTTTTGGTTTATTGTTTTGGAGGGTTTTTTTTTTTTTTACGATACAATGAAAGCTTAATTGTAATTAGTGGTAGGTGTGAATTTGAAAACCCACACCAAACTATCTGCTATAAGGAATGCTATTTTGATTTGAAGTCAGCTTGCCTTTAACAAAAGGAATCATTCTAAGGTTAATTCAAAGGTGCTTCCCCCCCACTTTGACCTCTGTGACAAATAGGAAGATAAGTTTTGTATTACCAAAAGAAAACACTACCTTTAAGAGGAAAGGAGATGTCTCTCTGTAAAAGGAATGAAGTGATCTATATTTTCTAGTCTGAGCTTTTTTATTTTCAGGAAAAAGGAAGACAAACAAAACTGCCTACTGCCCTTTAAAAGCTTTTACTACTGCTCTGGGCGCCAGGAAGATGTGGGTTCTGTCACACCTTTAGCTCAGCTGTCTCTTAAGTGGGCTTATATGACCAGGGTAGTTAAACTGAATAAATGGTCCCAATATTTCTCTGTACCCTCTCCCTCTTGAAAAATATAGCAAGCTACAGGTTGGGTTTTTTATTTAAAAAACTCATGGAGGGCCTCTCCTGTGGCTTGTGTTGGATGGAAGATCTTGCTGCTCTCTGTTCATGCAGTTCTACGATACCAGTCCCTGATATTCTTGTGCCATTCTGTCCTGCTTGTCTACTCATTTATAAATCTGTCAGCCCCTCCAGTTGAAGGGGGAATAAAAGGTGAATCTGCTAGGTAAATTTTAATAGGGAAAAGATAAAGGAGAATATGGTGTCTTATGAGACTTGTGCTGTTAGCTTTTAGCTGTCTACGGTTATCACCTGTGGTACACACAATCCTTTCAACACGTTGTGGTTGCATTTCTGTCCTTTTAGCTGCTTTCTCTGAGCTACCTGGGTGAGCAGATGTTAGCCCTTGATGAGAAGGCAGAGACAGAGAGTTCTGCTGTGCTTCCAGCTCTTGCAAGGCCGGGACAGAAGAATGTCCAGCACTCAGATCAGGGCAAAGGCCAGTTTTGCTCAGTATCCAGTCGGTCAGAGGGAACTATTTAGGGAAGTGAGAAATAAGATCTGGCTGTGAATAGGGTAACTTTTTCCTCCAGTATAAATTCCAAACTACGGGCAGCCAGTGATTTAGGAGTTGCTTGTGCCAGAGGCTGCATCCAGACCATCTCTTTGATGGCCACGGATGACTTTTAGATGACCAGCAACCCCACCTGCTCTTCCTGCCCAGAGGCCCTCCCCAGCCTCCCTTCCCAGGCAGGACCCAGCCGCACGGCCAAGGTGTCAAATACACGAAGTGCCTGTACATATTTTGGAGAAGTTAATGGCTGGGTGGAGGAGAGAAACCCCGACTGAGCTCTGGAGTGATGGCAGCACGAGCTCAGCAGTTTGACCTGCTGGCTCGCCAGCGAGACCGCGGGTAGCACAAAATCAGCTGAAGGACCAGCCTCCAAGGACCAGCTCTTCACAAAAGCCTCTGCCAGAACGAAACGCCTTAAAAAGGGAGCTGCCAGATGTTTCTTGTTTCAGAAATAAGTAGCACCAGGGAGGGCTGTGCTGCTCCATGAGTGCTGGGCTCCTGTCTCTGAGCCCTGCTGGAGGGACTGAGCTGGCAGCCCTCAATGACTTTAGTTTAGAACTGTGACTTATTGTGGGGGGAGAAAGGGCACACAATACCGTTTTCTCCTTCAGCTGAGCTAATTTCCACATTTACCTGTTTCTCGTTTGATGTACAGGCTTTATTTCACCAGCGTTCGGTTTCTCTTGCTTATCTGCCATTCTGCAGCCTTGAATAACACTGTATCCTTCCTAGAGATGTTAACTAGACGTTGCTTTCCCAATTATTGATTTAACAAACAACAACTCGAGAAATACTTGATAGCTGGCTCATTTGAAAGTAAGAGCGTTTCTTGGGGACAGAGAACAATTTTTGCATTAGCAGTGCACTCCCTTTGGCCCAATGTGCCTTCTTGAGCCTCTTGGTCTTTATTGTCAAACCCCTGAGGTAGAGTGGTGGCAGCAAACGGGCACCATAATTAGGCCAGACAAGATGGGAAGGGAAGAGAGTGTCAAATGGTAAGAGAGAAATTGAGTATATGTCCCAAGCTGGGTGGGAGGGAAGTTAGAGTTGAGCTGAGACTGATAATTTGCATTCAGAGTTGAGAAATAATTTTTAATCCTTTTTTTTTCCCCCTATTCAATCTTCTATTGTAATTGCAAGCCAAAATGACCATTACTGGGCACCTCTGCTCATCAACTTTATGGATTGGTGTCAGCTTCAGCTCTGGGGATAATGTGTTTTAGGTGCTGTTGTGACTGCAAGAAGGCACTAGCAATTGTAATTCAACACATTGAAAAAGTAGACAATAGAAACAGGTAACTATGATGCTGTTTAAAGCAGATATTGATGAAGAAGTCTGGAGATGTGAATTCTGCTCTGAATTCTGCTCCCCTGTCTGCCTCGTGTTTCCTCTTTGAGCCAGGGGAAGCCAGTATGCTTTTTTTTGTGATCCTGTGGTTCAGCTCCTCCATAGCAACATCAGAGCCTCCTAACATGTACCCTTGCATTTAGTACCCATAGAAAACATTTTTTGTCTTTCCCACACAATAGGATGACTATATTTTAATACTGGTACTTCTAAATTTCAGCCACTGATTAGGCCAGCGGTAACTGGTGTTGCAGTCTGTAGCTGTGCAAAGGCGAGACAGCTTGTACTGCTCGGCCCTGCATTGTTGATCGAGCTCTGCTCCTCTACTCAAAAATCTTGTTCAATGTTCCTAAATTTAGATCCCTCCAGTAAAGGGAATTCAGTTTCTCTCTGAAGTTGAGAAATTGCCCACAACAATTAGGAGGTGCTACAGCCATGCAGTGATTCTGGTTGCATCTGTTCCTAAGCGTGACAAAGCTGCTCCCAACGGCTGCAGAGGCAGCAGCGTCGCAGGGCAGGGAAGCACGGATGTCTGCCTGGGTGATTTAACAGGCCTAATGCTTTACTTTGTTAGCCTGATGTCATCCTTTGAGATCACCAACAGAAAGCATGAGCTGATTCACCCTCTTGGGATGGAGCTAAGCCTGAAACTTAACTTGCCCGAGGAGACTTGGGTCTCTCCATGGCAGGAACAGTGGCTGCTGCTGATCACGGCATCCCAAGATGCTTGTGTTGGCCGTGCGGATCACAGTTGTTTTGAACTGCGTGTGGCAATTCTGTTTCTCCTCAAAGAGCGAGCCAACACTGAAGCGAGCTCAAGTGAAGGGCATTAACTGAGCTCAAGTGAAAGACATTAATTTTAACGTATAGCGTGTCTCCAGTGTCCAAATCCGTATGAGTGTGGAGACCTCGTGTGCGAAAGTATCATTTCAAGTTCAGATACTGTCTCAAAAGGCATAAACTGACTGCATTAATGTGCCATTTGGGGCTAGTTTTCTTTACACAAAATGTGACTGATTGAACAGCTTTTTCTCAGTTATGAATATTTAGGATTGAACACAGCAGTCTGTGTGTATGTGATACGCATTTGTGTATTTGCATACAGCCACACTGTGGTAGACATGCTAATATATACATTCACTCTGTTCTATACTTATGTATCACCAATATGGGGTATATTTTAAGTACTACCTATGCCATCTCAAGAGAGCTGCGTACAATAGATCTGACTTTGGAAAAGATACTAAGGGTAATAATACACACTGGGAGTAGTGTTTGTGCACTTTTGGGGCATATCAGAAGCACAAACAATATATAAATATGGAAGGACAGTGTCTTGGAATGATTTCTTTTAAATGCAAAACATATCAAACGTTAATCTAAGTTGCTTTTTTTAAATGAATAAGAATCTCAAAAAGAAAGGGGAAAGTTAGTGGTGAATTAAGTTGGATTTTTTTTAGTTGATACTTGTTTAATTTTGTGTTATTGCAGAAACTGGAACACAAAGAAGTTTTGGTTGGCTTGTTGTTCCTGGTTTTCCCATTCATCCCAGCCAGCAACCTCTTCTTCAGGGTGGGATTTGTGGTGGCAGAGCGAGTCCTTTACATGCCGAGGTAACTATTGCAATTGAATTCCTTTCTAATGAGACCACCATCCCGTTTTCTAAAAGCAGGCATGATTACTTCTTCCCTTTTACAATACTTCAAACATTATATTGCTAGTCAGTGTGTTCTCTGCCTTTGAGTTTTGGCTTGATAGTATGAGAGATTTTATAGTCAGTTGAGAGCAGATTGCTTGGCAGGAGCAAAGCTACACACAATTTATTTTTTTTTTTAAACAAAGATTTTTTGGGGGTGCTTGAAACAGCTCAATACAGTGAGGAGGTGTTGTTTCTGGAGGATTGTCCTCCAAGACTCTTTCTCTTGGTAGCATTATCAACTTATATTGTCCAATGTGTTTACCTTAAAGACAATATCTGAAAAGTTAACCGTATTTTTTATTGTGGTAATGCTCAACTTTCCTGCTCCATTAGATGGTCAGTAAAAACAAAGGTAATGGTATTGTCCTAAAAGGCTGCTGGCTTCAGTTGTGGAATAGGTGCATGACCTCCTGCCTGTATGCTATTGACTGCATATGCACCTAGGAGTGGAGGAATTGCAGTTGTTGAAGAGGATGAGAAAAATCCAGCCACTTCTTCATCCCCCCCAGCCTCTGCCCTGGTATTTCCTTCAGCTTCCAGCCTCTAACAATTGTCACTTCAGCAGTCTGTGTGCTTCTGATTGCATATACTCAAGGACAACTTCTGACATCTCTGCAATATCCAGACCAGAGGCTGCAGTGGCAAAGGACATTCATCCAAGATGCACCAGGCTATTGCCCATTTCACAGAATCGCAGACTGGTTGAGGTTGAAAGGGACCTCTGGAGGTCATCTGATCTAACCCTGGCTGCTCAAGCAGGGCTGCCCAGAGCCAGTTGCCTGGGGACCATGTCCAGATGGCTTTTTCATATCTCCAAGGAGGAGACTCCATGACCTCTCTGGGCAACCTATGCCAACGCAGTTCTTTCCAGCCACGAGCATAAATGGTTGTTCTTGGATGCTGCAAGTCAGAAAGCCCAGTTTTACTCTTGGGTGCAGAGAGTCAGCTTCTGTTACCTCTAATCGGAACTGCTGTTGTGGAGCTGCCAACAAAGCACAAGTCCTCAATTTCACTCTGGATTACTTTATGACAACTGAAACAATAGTTTTATTCCACCAAGTGTTTAAATTGTATTCCTCAGAAAATGTAAATCCAAAAATCCTAAGGAAAACATTTATAGGTCTTCTTTTGCAAAGCCGTATGCATATTCTGACGGTCATTGGTATAAGCACTAACACAAAAGGGCTGCTCATGAATATAAAACTTAGGCTGCATAGGAGCTGTTGCATTTATTACAAGCTTCTTATGCAGTTAGGCTATATCTCTGCTCTGCTATATACTAATCTACTTTTTGGGTCAAATCCTGCTGACTTTATTCACATCACTAGCCCTGCTTTTGTTTGCTGAGAGCATACCTGGAAGTATAGCGGGTGAAAGTTGTCCCTTAGAGTTATTTTGCAAACGATACCCTCAACTAATGGATCTTGCATCATTTCAAATTAACTTGGAAATCAGATTGCTTTAAATTCATGTAACAGAAAATGAGGAAACACATGAAAGCGCAAAGCTATTAAGGAAACAGTCAGCTGAACATAGGGCTCTGTTGAGTGGTTGCGTTTCTGAATCTCAAAAGAACAACTGCGGAAAATACTTCAGCTGTCAGCAGTTCTTCGTCCTCCTCCAGATGAGACTGCTGATATAATGAGAGGAGGGGCAATGAAGAAGAAAAAAGGGTATGTTTGTGCAGAGAAAATTAATCAGCGTTAACATGTGTGCATATAGTTTGTATAATGCTTTTCATCTCCCTGAGGGCTTTGCAAATATATGACCTACAAAGTAGATAATTGATAGTTGCTGATTTTTTTTTTTTTTGAGCAGGAAAACTGAGGCAGAAGGATTAAGTGAGTTCTCCATAGTAAGTCTGTGTTGGAGTCCCTGGATCTCATACTTTGCTGAGATCATTCATGTCCTGCCTCACAATATTTGGTTTTTGCTCTTACCCCAGGCTGGCAGGCAGCTGGCATGAGAAGGGAAGGCAAACCCTGGCAGTTTGCAGGAAAGGTGGGCAGTTCTCAGCCGAAGGATCCAGAGAGAGCTGAGCTTGGCACTCTGAGTTACCAAGAAATGAGCTCGCTTACATCCTCTGGGTGCAAAATGACGTAAACGGTGAGGGGGACTTCAGCGAATATTCATGACTATGGCAGAACAAAAATTATGTTGGTTTTTTGCCCTTCCTTGGGATTGTGGTGGTTTAATAATGATGGCTCTAGGAAGGGCTCGTGTTCTTTAATTAGAACAGCTTTTAGTAGTTTTCTTATGTTGCATCTTGGAAGGGGCTTTTCCTATCCTTTGCCATTCCTTCTCTAAAACTCAGCAAGTCAGAGGTTGTAATTTGGCTTTATTTAGACAAAAATACTGAATCAGATGGAGAGAACCCAGTGGTCTATGGTTTTGGGCTTATGCTGGAAGGTGCTTGTCTATCTCTGTTTGAAGTAATAGCCTTTTGTCAATATTTATGGATGTGACAGTTGCGTATGTGTGTCACAGCCTGAGGTCCTCATTCACTGTTCCTCAGTAGTTACCTGGGCAAAATGTCAAGCATTTTCTTTTCACCAGAAGTTAAGCGAGGACCCAAGGATTTATGTAAAAGATGTTGTAATTTGAAAAGAACAAGGAATAAGCATTTTGCTCAATGTCTAATTATATGGCTGGGCCTTGCCTTCTGGGGATTGATGAGTGTTTCAAACAATTCCTCTTCTGTCTCCAGCTGTGCCTTGCGGGAGAGGGATATAAGCTAAGTCAGAGTGGTTGCATGTTTTCTTTAATTGGCTTTAGCAAAACAGAAATATTTGAAGAAAAATATTTCTTTTATTTAGTTTTCTTTTGAGGGTTACAACAGGAATTTTTGAAAGTAGTATTACTTTAGCCTGAAAAATTTCAGAGGAAAACAATTTATTGTCTTTCAACTTTTAATTTTAGTTTTTATGTTGTTTTCTTACCCTGAAGAGGAGAAAACTTGTTTTCAGGAGGGTTAGGGATGTGAAATACGTATCCTGGGAGTGGTGGATGGGATACAACTCTAGGCCACAATTTTCGGAAGAGGCATCACAATAAATGGCTGGATGAGTGAAAGACTCAAACCACTGTGGGTTTTTCCCTCTTCGAAATGTAGATGTAATTACACTTACTGCGGTATCTGCTAAGGCTGCACTGAACACCACGGACAGCCTAATTGTTCGAAAATCAAGAACGATGACGTGCATCCAGTTATTCTGAGCCGTGAGCAATTTGTCTGAACTTAAACAGGAGCACTAGCTCTCACTTTGTGTTGCCCTTCTCATGGAGAAACTGGAGAGGCCATGCAAATTCTAGGGCCAGCTGCCCTACTGATGTACCAGCGGAGCTGAGGTTGTTCTCATCTCATGGGATCAGACCTTTCCTACCAGCGCAATTTCTGTTTTTCTCATCTTTCACTGCTACGCTCATAGCGGTGGCTCCTTTCTGGGCTGCTGTAGCTGGACAACTTAAGCTGTTTTCACAACCTCATCTGAACCAACAAATCAACCAAAACATTGATACATGGCTTATTTCCAATTTGCTGAAAGCGATAGGCAGCCTAGCGGTACCTGTACCGTTTTTATGGCAACTCATTCGTGGTGGATATTGCAATGAGTGGGTTGCAGAGTGCACAGTCACTCGTTCCCAGCACAGGTAATTACGAGTTTTTGTCTTTTTTTTTTTTTTTTCCACCAGCTCCTTACTATATCCAAAGTTGATGTTGCATCCCTACTTGTCAATACTAGAACATGACATCATAGCTATATACAGGATGGCATTTGCTTTGATGTCTATCTAAAAATCTGCAAGAAAGCCAGCATCCAGAAAAAAATGCAGTCGTATTTTTCAGAAACTTAACACATCATGTTAAAGCTTTCCCCGTGCCATAGCAAAACAGGTACCATATAGAAGTTCTGCTTTTGCATAGAGCAAGTTTTTGATTTTTCGTGCTAATGCATTCATTCCAATTAGTGTAATTCCATACATTACTAACTTCTGTGACTGAAAACAAGAAACAACCTAGTAGGTAGTGGAATCATTTGTAACTTTTATAAACCTGGATATCCCGGAGCAGAAGTCCCCTTTACTTACAAAGCAGCCACTTGAGAATGGGACTTACTGGTGCTTCTCTTTTCTGGGAGCGTGTTATGCTCTCCACATAATCTTCTTTTTCTTAAAGACCAGTTGTGTTATTGGGGTAGTTTTGTCTTTTCAGTTTCCTTTGCCACTCCTTTCTTTAAGATTGTTTGAAGCTACAAGTTCACCAGGAGCTGAATTCCTGTTTACCTCTTCAGCATTCCTTCAGTATTAGATCAGATCTAGTAAGGGATCATCTGATTTACAGAAGAAGCTTCTCTTTTTGTTTAGAGTCAAACCCCAGCCCTGCTGAAGTCAGGAGTAGAAGTCCCATTGACTCTGTGGAGCCAGTTTATCTGCTCCCTGATCTCAATTCAGAAACATAATTAAGCTTTTTGCCTGCTTTCAAGTTAAATCCACAGTTCATTTGGGATTTGGATATGGAATCTAAGTCACACCTGTTCCATCTACTTAAAAAAAACCACATGATTTTAGTGCCTTACTCTGTTGCTGCTGTTCTTGCGAGGGCCACGAAGCTGCTGAAGTTTAGAAAGAGTGAATTGGATTGTATTCTCTGTAATTCAGCCTTGGACCCGAGGGCACTGGGAGGGGACTGGGAAGACATTACATGACGGCAGTGGGCCAGATTCCAGCTTTAGCACAGTCCCTTTTTACCTTGAGGGTTGCCTGTCCCTGCTCCAGGGTGTCAGTTTGAGCAGTGGTCTGCAAAATGGCTGGTGATTGGAGGCAAGGAGTTTGGGACCTTGGCTGAGGTGAGTGAGTGGGGTTCTGCTTCCCCATTCCAGGGATAATGACTCCACTCTGCCCTTCAGAAGGAGG